GTGGGGGGTGTTATTCGTGGGGTGGCTGGGGGGGGGGTCGAAGACAAACCTCCACTTTCACACGGATCTGTCGCTCGTGCGGGTTTATTTACGCGTTTTTGAAGCAGGAAAATACTTGACATACCAGAGAGGGAGCCAGTTGCGCCGTCTGAGGTGCTAATAATACTCCACCGAGACAGCGAGACCTTGTATGCGTTTCCCCTCCTCGGCAAATTTAGCCCACCGCTGCTGATGGCGAATCGCTCGGCTGCTGGGCTCCCACACAGACGCGGTCATGACAGGCGGGTGGACGGGCTTGGAGGGGGTGGGAGTCCCGGTGGCCACGTCGCCGCGCGGTTCGCTCGTTTCGCGTCGTCAAAACGTCAAACCCTCTTGTCACAGCCTCAGCCACGGCCAGGGTAGCCCCGCTCGCTCACGCTCGGCGCTCCCTCCTGCCAGACGCCAACCTTCTTCGGGTTCGGCCGGGTTAGAGCTTGTCGTCTCCGGGCTGGAGGGGAGGCGCGAAAACCAGACACGGACGACAGCTGTCAGCGGGGAGCGGATCGGAAGCGTGGACGTGTATGACTGCAGTCATTTTCCCGCCACACGTCCTCGATAAGCGTAAACGGTTTAAACGTTTACAAGAAAAAAGTTGCATTTTAATATTCCAAGAATAAAGGCAGGCATATTTTCGTGGGAGGAAAAACACCTTTTATTTTCGAGGAGAATTTTTTTTATGGTTTCGGGAAAACCCCCAGCATTTTCGTGAGTCATATTTTTTTGAAGTGCATATTTTCTATTAAAAAACATGATAAGAACAAAGTATCATATTTTCAAGAAGTCATATTTTTTTAGCAAGTTGCAGGAGTACGAGTGTAAAGTAAAGCATATTTTAGAGTAAAATAATTACATATTTTTGAGATTTTTTTTTCTCCAGATCAAAAATATATTTTGTGAGAAAATTTGAAGATTAATAGGTGTGTAGTCTCAAGAGAAAAAAATGATCTTCGAGAAATGTCCAATTCTTTAGAAAATGTTGTAATATGAGAATGAGAATAAAACAACACATCTTGGGGAAAAAGTGGGGGAATTAAATGTTTTAAAGACACAAAGTTGCACACTTTTAAGATAGTCGTATGGTTTTAAAGGGGAAGTCAAGTCACAAGATTTTGTTACAAGATTATGTTCGATGCAGCCCCACTAGTCAAAAAACGGTATTCTGATTGTGTTTGTCGAATATGAATTAAATAGCAAAATCTACCCATTTTAATCCATCCCAAGAACATTCGGGCATGCGAAGGTCAAATGATCAAATTCAGAAAACAGGTGAGTCGTGATTGCTGAATCATAATTGTGATTGGTAATTACCTGAGCCTTGAGAAACTGTGACATCATTTTTGGGTACTTTTTGAGCCAACAGTATATAGATTTGAATATTACAAGAACAATATCACGATTGGGGGCCTGGTGGGGGGCAAGTGAAGTTACATTATATATGCATACATACAACTCACAAGGCTTCACAAGCCAGGTGACAAAGAACCATGGGGAAGACGGGGGAATCCCTCTTACAGGATGACGTGGCTGCATAATTTGAAGCTACACAATGTTAACTAGAATAGTGTGAGTAGCGATTTAATAAGATGAAGCGCTGCAGAAAGACTCCTTTGGAGAAGCGGACCCTCCTCAAAACTCGATGGGTCCAGTCGGTCGATGCAGAATTATCCATAGAAACGCCTCCAGGAAGGTGGCCCACCGCAGATCTTGTCCCGGTCAGTCGGTTCAGAATCTGTACAGCATCATCAGATTTGTTCATTGTTCAGAATATGTACATTTAACGGTCATCAGTGCGCGCTAATATCAACTCCTGGTTTACCTCCAGCAATATAACTAAGGTGCTCCTTTTGCTCTCAACTTGGACAGCAGCATTTCGTTCTTTCGGCATTCCTCTTGAAAGTCTTTGACGGTTTGGAAATAAAGCCTCTGGATGTCGAGCAGCTCCAGGTATTTGTCGTTCAGCTGATCTCTCCTCATTTTGTTCTCCTGCTTTTTCTTCTCCATCTTGATACGACTCTGTCCGATTCCCTCCACGATCTGCTCCATCTGTCTGAGGAACTGTTCCTTTGCGGCTGAAGAGGACATGGCTTGTTGGAAGTTGTCGTGAATGGAATTCAGCAAATTAACCTCCTTCTCGAGATAAACTTTCTGGTCATCCAATGTATTATACAAGGTGAAGAACTGTTTGGTCTCTTTGTGCGTTGCAGAAACTTGGCAATAGAGCTCAATGAATCTCTTCTGGTACTGTGCAAGTTCTGCACGGGAAGGCACTTCGTCGATCTTTCTCTGCAAAACGGCAATGTCACGATTCCTCCTAGCCATAAGCAGACGGACCTTCTGTAGCTTCTCTCTATCCGCATTATGCTGTTTGTCAATCAATTGGTTTCTCTCCTTCTCCTCCTCTGTACCAACTCCGGATGCTGCGCTTAAATTTTCAATACTCTGCTGCAGGCGGACCATCTCATCTTTACAGTGGGTACGAAACTCCTGCTCTTGAAGTTTCAAGTTTTCATTCGATGTGACCAGAGACCTCAGCTTCTCGAGCATGTTGTGGTCAGCCTGACGTTCCACGTCCTCGAAAATCATCACCTCATTCATCAGTCTATCCGACCGCTCGGTGACCTCAGTCAGCTTCATCTTGGCTTCATCGCAGCCTTTCTTAACTTCGGCATGCTGGGCTTTTAGCTCAGCACGCTGGTTAATCATCTGCTGGATCTGTTTGTTCAGAGAGGCAACAGCTCTGAGGTGTTGGTGAAGTGGGCCATACCACTCTGAAGAGTCCTCCGATGCCTCCGTGTGTTTCTCAGCATACTCAGAAGCGATCTGTTTGATCTCTTCAGACTGTTGTCCCACAATATGCCCCACTGTGCTTGCTGTCAGCTGGCCCTCTAGATTGGCCATGGCGGCCATTGTGTTCATCAGACTTTTGATCCGCTTCTCCTCCGCCGCCCACTGAACTTCTTCCTCTGACAACTGTTTCACAGAGTCTTTCGTTGTCAAAGCCATTTTTTCACCTGACTTATCTTGTTTGCTGAATCCATATTGCCTGCCATATTCCAGCAATGTAGAGTGAACCTTGGACTCCTCATCCAGTAGTTCCCCTGCCTCCTTTTGCCTTCTGTATTTTCTCTGTGGTTTGTATACTTCCAGGATATCAAGAACTGCTCCCACTGCCTTGCCTCTTCTTTGATGGAACTCTTCATCCTCTGGAAGGTTGAAGGCCTTCTGGAACTGAGATATGGAGTAGGCTCTCACGTAATCGCCCATTTGCTCTCTAGTCTCGATGGCCCGCTTCACTAGCCACTGTATCACTGGAAAAATATGAATAAAATCAAGCCCTTGGATTTGATGAGGCTCCAGGAGATGAGGACATTTCATTTTTGGCAAAACAGACACAATTTTCTCAGTCAAAGCTATTTTTTGGCCGATGGTTGAGTTTTCTTGAAAAAGAAGATCAACGTCAATGTCATAGTTACACGTAGTGATGCACCAAGTCATTCCGCCGACCACCTTATCAAAAGATGACAGTCCCTTGATGCGGGCCCGAAAATATCCGGCAGCCAAAAGAAGCTCAAGGATCTCCGCCAGCTTAATGCACTGCTCTTCATCCTCTCGGGCTTCCACCTGAATAACGTCGCCGCCTTGATGCTCAGAGCCTAATTTTGAGCCGCGTCTTGCTCTATTAAACACAGAAACGGTCGCTGCCATGTCGATTAAAGTGTCGGGTTTTGGAACGGAAACGTTAGTTCACTGTGGCGCGCTCAATTGACGTCTTTCACGTCATTAGCGTGCGCTCGTAGACCAAGAGCGGAGGCCATCCGTCTCCTTGTTAAGTACTACGTGAACTTCGGAAACGTCGTTGTAGCTTGACTAGGAACTAAATTATATTCACGTCTTGCTCTATTAAAAACAGATATGATCGTTGCCATGTTGATTGAGGTGTAAAGTTTCGGAACGGAAACACAACTCCAATATGGCGCGTTAAACTGACGTCAGCTACGTCACTAGCGAGCGCTTGTCAAGCAAGAGCGAAGGGCACTCCAGCTCTTGTTTAGCATTACGTGAACATCGGAAACATCGGCATCTCTTCTTATTCGACAGGTTTTGGAGTCAGATCATGAATGTTTAGCGACACTAATATTTGGTACGCTCGCGTGTCGTGTGAGCTAGCGTCGTGTCCAGGAACAAGGCGACGGTAAAGTCATTTTACTTACGGAACATTTATTCCATCGACCTTCCACGTTGCTATTAACGGTGTATGTACAGAATTTCAAGTCGTAAGTACAGTGTAGTATTTTATAGTATATACAATGGATGGATTTTACTCGACACATCCCAAAATGTCCCAAAATCCAAGAATGTTGGGCAATGCCGTTGCTGATGACCAATGTATAAATAGTGAAATGTCTATTTTTGCTTGGTAGCGATGCATGAGGTGGATTTGTGAGCATCCAGGATGACATCGGAGGCTGCTGCTGCTCCTGTCCCCACACCTCCAGCCTTAAGCAGCACTAAAGCGCGAATAGACCACTACTGGCTCCGCTCTTTTGTTGCTGGAGGTAGGTCGTGACACATGATTGTTATTTAGGGGGCACCATGATCAAATTTGCTTCCCGGCTTGCTCGATGTTTCCTGTTTAAAAAAAAAGAAAATTGCAGTGGACCAGTATTGTTGGGGCTCTCGTCACGTGATTCATATTGTTGTTGATAGACTGTTGTTGTGCCCTTTGTTCGCCCATCCCTCAACCACGTTGTCCTGTTTTCGCTCTCTACTGTCTGTCCCTCTACTCTGTCTCTCCATTGCAAACCAACCATTTTTACAAACACGAAAATGTTTGTACGCTATTCTTAAAAAGTATTTTCACATGACGTTATGTCAATCCAGTATAAAGCTCATACAAGTCACAACACTATTAAAAATGCCAAAACCTTGTTCATTCAGTTTCTTCTCTGCCGTAGGTGTCGCAGGATGCTGTGCCAAGACTACAATCGCTCCTCTAGACCGGGTAAAGATTCTGCTTCAGGCTCAGAATCCCCACTACAAACACCTGGGTAATATGTCGACAAATCGTAATTTGAATTCATTTCGCGTCGCCCGATAATTGTGGAAGCGTAACTTCATTGCGCCTCTTTCGATTTCAGGTGTGTTTTCCACTCTAAAAGCTGTGCCAAAAAAAGAAGGCTTCCGCGGCTTGTACAAGGGTAATGGTGCGATGATGGTGAGGATATTTCCTTACGGTGCGATCCAGTTCATGGCCTTTGATAATTATAAAAAGGTACGGTCCTTACTCTACTGTGGGGTAAAAATGTCAGTAAATGTGATGCCCTTGGTCTTGAATGACAACTTGCACCTCCTGCATGCATTTTCATTTGCTCAACAGCTGCTTAGTAAACAACTTGGGATCTCCGGACATATTCACCGCCTCATGGCCGGTTCCATGGCAGGTAGGTTTGAAAACATTTTTGGTATGACGTTAGCTCCTTAAATGGGGATCTCCCACATTCCAAAAACATGCGCGGTAGGTTAATTGATCACTCTAAATTGTCCCTTGACATGATTTCTTTTGTCTATGTGTCCCCCACGATTGGCTGGCAAGCAATCAAATTATCACTTTGGCTCCACCTAGTGGAAATTTGGTGTTGCATGGTTTAATTCATTGGTAGAGTTTTTTTTTTTTTTTTTAATTAAATGCCTCACCCCTGTCTTGTCAGGTATGACAGCAGTGATATGCACTTATCCATTGGACATGGTTCGAGCCAGACTGGCCTTCCAGGTGACCGGGGACCATCGCTACACCGGAATCATCAATGCATTCCACACCATCTATCTGAATGTGAGCTACTGGTGTATAAACATGTGCCGAAGACATGGTCGCAAATGTTTTATCACTGTTTGTGTTTTGCCACAGGAGGGGGGATTCTTGGGCTTCTATCGGGGACTCACCCCAACCCTCATTGGAATGGCCCCTTATGCAGGTGATGGCTGTTGTCAACATATGTCTGTGAACGCAGTGGGGCGTTCAAGCGACATGAAAAAACAGTTTACAAGATCTACCGAATGAGCTCAATGTCTTGATGTCGGGATTGGTTTGAATTGCTTGAAGGATGTGGACATAGAAACAAAATGATCTGAATGTAGGCAAAAAAATTTACCGAAAGTATTTACTGTAGTTGCAGAGCAGCATTCCACTCTCCTCCTCCTGCTTGATGGTGTGTTTTGATGCTTCAGGTTTCTCCTTCTTCACCTTCGGGACCTTGAAAAGCCTCGGTTTGAAACATTTCCCGGAGACGCTGGGACGACCGTCGTCGGACAACCCAGACGTTCTGGTTCTTAAAACCAAAGTCAATCTGTTGTGCGGAGGCGTTGCCGGTGCCATCGCTCAGACGATATCGTAAGTGCGAATGGACGACTTTCCCCTGATATGTGGTCCACTAGCATCTAAAATGTTTTTTTTTTTTTTTTTGGTCCCACTAGCTATCCCTTGGATGTGGTACGGCGAAGGATGCAGCTTGGATCCGTGCTTCCTGACGGACACAAGTGTGTGTAAGTACCACCAGACCCCCCCCCCCCCCCCCCCCCCACTTCACTCAAGCGACAGCGGATCTCAAGCTCGCTTTCAGTTAAAACAACTCTTTGCATCTGCATCTCTTGTGCCCCGAACAGCTCCCTGAGCAAGACCCTATCTTACGTCTACAAGGAGTACGGGGTCAAGAATGGCCTCTACCGAGGCCTGTCGCTCAACTACATCCGCTGCGTCCCCTCTCAGGCTGTGGCCTTCACCACTTACGAATTCATGAAGCAACTCCTCCACCTCAATTAGCGGCCGTGTCACTCATCTGACTCGCGCCGATGCTTACTTGGTATGTCTTAAAATGACCACACCAACAAAATATTTAGAATGTGGTTTTTAAGGATCAAAAATTCTAATATTTTTGCATCACGATTCATTGCTTTAATTCCTTCGTCCCCAGGGGGCGTGATGATGCAGATGTACACCGGAAGAAAACTCGGTGACTCATAAGCTGCAGGAGAGGATAAAGAATGTATGCCTCAAGTATTGTCATATTGCTTGTTGTATTTCAAATATAATTCGCATAAGTTTATAACAGACAAATTGATGCGAGTTTCGTTAGCCTGCCTATGGCCTTTTGCATTGTGTTAGCTTTTTGCCAGCTGACTTACATAAGTGACGTGGCTGGGTTGAATGCACTGTATGTACAGTGATTCTTTTTCTTTTGTGTTTAGTTTTACACTCAATTTCAACAGGGAGTGGCAGTAAAAAGCTTGAATCCATCGCCTCTTTTTTTTTTTTGACGAAGTGTTCACGCGTTCTAGCGTTTGGCACTCAAATTTTTGCTCACAGCTCCGGGCAAAAACATTCAGGCGACAGCTTGTACGTATCCCAAAAAAACTCTTTAAGTCGGTGTACCACTGTACCTCTCGTTACAAGCGTGTATATAACCGGCCGCTGGAAAGAAGCGTAAAATGAGCAACTGATTAACTATATTTCTACCGTTACCGAGTAACATGAAATCCACACATTTCTTTGGATTTTTGGGATGAGTTTGATACACTGAAAGCTGATGTAAAGATTGCATGACTTAGGATTCAGGGCTTTAAAAATATATAAGGGGTGCAAGTGGCATGCATGCCTTGTCCTTTTTTTTTTTTTTAAAATGTCTGTCTTTTTTTTAATGCCTCTTAAAATCTGACCAGTTTGTCAATCATCTTTTATTGTCTTATGCCAAACTTTAAAGAGAACAGTATAGTGATTTTATTATTGGTTTTTTTTTTTGTTTTTGTTTTTTCGTTATGGACACAGATGTTTAATGTGTGCTTATAATCACTCGCAATTCTGTGTGCTCTGATATTCTTGTTGATGTCCATATTTGATTCTGTGCTGAATGTAGATCAGACAAGTCCGGATCGGGCGATGTTCTGATAGGAGGGAAAATTGCACTTTTAACTGTTTACCTTTTACTTCTGTTATTTATTGATTTAGCTTCATGTCGCCACTGGGTGGTGGCTCTGCTGACAGAAATGATGTGGTTTACAGTTATAGCTGAAAAAAGTAATGTAAATAAAACCAAATAGTGTGAAATAATTCTGTTTACGTAATCTAACGTAAATTGAAAACAGGCCTGCGCGCTATTTTCCTTTTCATGACAAATCTTGGAAATGATTATCAGTTTTGGCAATCTGGTTTCACCGTTTTTTTTTCCCCTTAACTTTTAGCAGCCCTAGATATATGTTTTACATTCGAAAAATGTCATGGCTTTCACCAAACAGAAACGTCACAGGACGTAGAAACAACAGCAGTTATGTATCTTCTGCCATCTAGTGGTCGAGCATTTAATTGTCCTGCCTTTCGCTTCTACTGTATGTCGCTGGGATATAAAACCCCATTCGTAATTTGCATTAAATAATTTTCGGACCAAAATAAAAAGTGAAATAAGGTAATTTCTCACGGTACATCTGAGCTTTTGTGGAACAATGGTTGCTAACAAGTATTTTTGAAAAATTCAAGTGAATTTGGGGAATTTATGCTGGCGCCACTCCAAAATTTTACTCGAGCAACAGAAACACAATGTCAGCAATATAAACTCATGACTCCTAAATATTCTCTACATTATATCACATATTTGTGCAATGTGCTTGGCTACTTGATCGAGTCACGTTTCGAGAAGTGACCGAATAAATATAAAAATGCCTTTGGATGTCCATATTGTATTTTCTTTCTCTGTTTGGCTTATGTGTATTTTTAAAATCAGGACATGATATTAAATATCACCTTGTTAACGCCATACTCAACTGCGTCTTCTTGCTTGAAGTCTTTAGAACACGTGTGCCCCGGTATATCGCGGTTCATGGTTGACTCCTGCGCTATATGGCATATCTTTTTAAGCGATCCTTTACTCCCACCCCATCCCCGAGTATACAGGGAAGTTAGAATTTGATGTACGGTATTACCGCGTTGGGCTGCAACATTCCATGCTAGTCGTTAGCCTGTCCATGGCATTTTGCATTATGTGTTAACATTAAGCTACCAGCCTCTTATGAGACAAAATTACATGATTTAATTCACATTTTAGTGTTCATATTTAATTTTCTGTTTCATGTGTCAGTTCTACAGAAGACTTCTACTGGGATTGACAGCGGCTTGAAGCAAGCATCCCGCGCCTCTAATTTGGGACACTTTGCAAGCAAGAGACTGAAAACAGGTACTGAGGATTCCTTCAAAAAGTTTATAATTTATTTATTTTTTTTAAAAGAAATGTGTCTAAAGAATGTGAATTAAAAAGCAAAAAATTTTAAACACGGTCTCCTATATTTCAGATTTTCACTCTAAGTGGGTGGTTTTGAAATGTATGCCGTGGGGTTAATGAGGGTTCACCGTGTACAGGAAAAGTTAATTATGGTCAAGCCTGTAATGCAAAAATAAAAAAAGGGAGGTCACTGACTGTACTGTGATATTTGCCTAGTGCATACTACCAGGCATTGTTCAGTGTCACGTGCAGATTTGACTAGTAAATTTGACGCCTCATATGAGGCTTCAGTCCAGCAGACCCATTTTACTGTTTTGGTTTGTAAAAGGAAAAAAATGTCCCCAGGTAAACAAGGGCAGGGAGCGTCTCTGTAGTTCCCGTAGCGCACCGCCCACATCTGCTTCACCAAGTTACACATTCTTGTGGCCTTTGTGTAAGAGAAGTGAGGACATCGCAAAAAAATGAGAAGTGAACTTTTTGGGACCTAACCAACGGTGACCACTTAGACTGAAGTTAATGGGCGACGGAATTGATCATTTTAATCCAGGAGAGTGTTTTTTGGAGTCTTTCCATCAATGCCGTCGTACACAGTGACCATCGCCACGGGGAGCCAGTGGTTTGCGGGGACGGATGACTACATCTACATAACGCTGGTGGGCACTGAGAGATGCAGTGAGAGGACTCTGCTGGACAAGCCTCTGTACAATGATTTTGAGAGGGGCGCGGTAAGTGAGTCTACGTGGACACGACGGAGTCAAATATACATCTGATACACGGTACACGTAGACATCATGGTTCTAATGTTAAAAGAGGAAGCTACCATGGAAGAGGCAGTGATGAAATTTTACCCGACCCATTGCACACCTTGACCAAGTCATAGCGTTGTCCGTCGTTGAACCGAACAAACAACCCAAGTACACGGTAGAGGAAGGCACCCTCAGGTAAGAGAAGAAAAATGGACCAAAGTAGGAAAGGGGTTGAACATGCGAGATGGAGGCCAGTAGGCCTAGTAACCAGTTTCAGAGAGAGCATTGATCATGGCAAAAACATACATCGGGGCTGATTCTGGCAGGGCACGGGAGATGGGAAATGGAATTTTGGCGAGCTCATGGGTGAAAGGGTGCGCCAAAGTCAAGATAGGGTGGTCGTAAAAAATGGACTAAAGGTGACACGGACTACCGTATGATAGATTTGGTGCACCTGTAAAATAAATAAATAATACGCTCGCTAGCTTCATGACCCACACGTCAAGCAAAGACTTGGAGCCGCATCTCAGATAAGCTTCTCGCAGCTTTGCACACCTAACCCTAACCCATCCCAGTGGATGACCATGAAGTCAATGATTAATCTTTGACGGGAAAGTTGTTCTTCAGTAAACAGAGAACAATCTAAAATCTACCTACCCGACAGGAACTCCATGCCATCCATGCCTCTTACCACAAGAAGCATTCATGGACATGAAGAGATTCCAAACTTTTAGCCAAGAATTTAGTCCCAGAGGCTATTCCCGAGACCGTCTGTTGCATACGTTCACATTTAGTCTATGGTGACTGCAATTTGCTGGGAGATAAACTATGTTCCCAAATCCCCAGATTCAAGCAGACCAAACCCTTAGGTCTGTTCTTGCCACCACTGAGCCCACATGGTAGTTCCTCATGGTCATTTTATTTTCTGGCCTGGAACCCCTGCTACCCATACACTTACCTTTCGGAATGTCTCTGGCTCTGGAACCTCACTTTAGAACCACTTTACTCCTTTGGCCGTTCACCCCAACACTTCCAGAAAGGATCATCCCCTCATCTTCCGTTTAAAAAGAGTTCTCCTAGAGAGCATCTGAAACAACAAATGGAGACCGATTCTAGTTTTTCCCAACCTACACAAACTGAATTGCTCGCAGGTGGATTCCTACCTGGTGAGGACGGACGAGAACCTGGGCGAGCTTGCTTTGGTGAAGCTGGAGAAGAGGAAGTACTGGGTCCAAGACGACTGGTACTGCAGCTACATCTCAGTCAAGACTCCGAGCGGAGACAACGTGGAGTTCCCATGTTACCGCTGGCTGGTGGATGACAAGGAAGTGGTGCTGCGGGACGGACGAGGTAGAGTCACACACTCGCGGCGTGTTCGGTCAATTTCATTCATTTTCATTCCATCCTTTTGGTTTGGTTAGCTCACCTGCCTCAGGATGATAAGACCAGCCTGGTCAAGCAGCACAGAAAGAACGAGCTGGAAATGAGGCAGAAAGCCTACAGGTGTGTCTTATCGGACCACGAAAGTCATTCACCGGGGCCGTCTTGTTCCGTTTTTAACAGAAGTTTTGTACCTTAGATGGACGGAGTGGCAGCCCGGCTTTCCGATGAGTATAGATGCCGGCAGACACCAGGATTTGCCCCGGGACATCCAGTTTGACAGTGAGAAGGGAGTGGATTTCATACTGAACTACAGCAAAGCGTTTGTATTGCCTCTAATTGCCTTTTTGTAAACCAGGACCACGATGGTATTTCGGAATTTTGTGCGAATGGATTGATTGTCGTTGCCCGAAAAAAACAACCCACCAAAAAAGTTTTACATTCACCTTCTGCAGTTGACATGTACAACACACAGTGATCGGATCATCAAAACTACATTTCCAGAATCGAGAACCTGTTCGTGAACCACTTCATGCACATGTTCCAGACGTCCTGGAGCGACTTTGCCGATTTTGAGAAGATCTTTTTGCGAATCAAAAACACCATCTCAGGTCAGCCTCGGAGTTGTCTTTTGAGCGGTTTCTTCCTTTGCTCTTTTCACGTCTTTATTTTCCACACATACCCTTCAGAGTATGTGATGCAACACTGGAAAGAGGATTTCATGTTCGGTTACCAATTCCTGAACGGCTGCAATCCCGTCGTCATCCAAAAGCTCACCAAACTTCCCGACAAGTTTCCCGTCACCGATGACATGGTTGCGGTTAGCCTGGAGAGACATTTGACTCTGGAAGAGGAAGTGAAGGTAGAATAACGATCACCCTTTGCTGATGATTTCGCTCGCGTGCCCGCCGCCTTGTTGTCTGACCGGTCATGTGACTGCCTCGCTTCAAGGCGGGTAACATCTACATGGTGGACTACGAAGTGTTAGACGACATCCGACCGAACTGCACGGATCCGTGCACCCTGCAGTACTTGGCAGCTCCCATCTGTCTTTTGTACAAGAACACCCGGAACAAGATCCTGCCGATAGCCATACAGGTACGGTGATATTTTTATGTTATATAATAAAATAAAATATATTTCTATTTTGGCACACAAGATTAGCTAGGATGCTATACAGGCACATCCTTGTCTGACGGATGGGGAAGGTCTGCCTGTCCGAAATGATTCCTGTTCTTCTACTGTCTTACTTGGGCGCCATTTCGTGTAGCCCAAGTAAAAATGCGTGACTCATCGTTCTTAAAAGGATTCACCGATTAAGTGTGCCCAAGAGTGCAATAGGATAAGAAAAGATCAGTAAAGCTTTTTTTTTGTCTCACAATGGAGAAATTCCCAATAGATAAGGAAGGCCAATTAGAAGCAAGTCGAAAGTTTTAACGGCCGAGCTCAAGTCCGCTATCGAATTATGAGATGTGTGCCAAAGAGACCGAATCCAACACTCTTCCTTGTTCCAGTGGTGTACAGCGGACTACTGCATAATCGTGGCACAGACGGATTCATATCTCCAGATGTTTTTTTTTTTTTTTTAATCCTCATTTCAAACCATTTTTTGTGGAACATGCATATTGAATATTTCCCGCATTTTTTTTTTTTCAAGAATTTGAATTTTAAATGATTCTGATTGTTTTCCCGGCTGCCTGGTGGTCGACTGGTTGGTGTAGAGGTGCAGGGTTCAATTCCGGCCCCGACCTTCCTGTGTGGAGTTTGCATGTTCTCCCCCGTGCCTGCGTGGGTTTTCTCCGGGTAATCCGGTTTCCTCCCACAATCCAAAAAGATGCACGGCAGGTTGATGGAAAATTCTAAATTGTCCCCAGGTGTGATTGTCAGCGTGTTGTGTGCTTTGCGGTCTGCTGGCAACCATTTCAAAGCCTCTCCCGCTTCCTCCCCGGAGACAGCTGGGAGAGGCTCCAGCATGCCCGCGACGCTTGGGAAGATAAACGGATTCGAAAATGGATGGATGGAGGATTGTTTTCCCCTCTCGTATGCGGATTGTCACTATTTGCCGGCCGACCCGGTCCTTATCCCCTACGAAAAGTGGGATTCCACTGTCCTTCCATTTTTTGTAAGTAAAGACATTGGCAACGCTTCTCACCTTTGCTCGTCTCCCCAGTTGGCTCAGACTCCAGGCAAGGACAACCCCATCTTCCTGCCCACAGACAGTCAGTACGATTGGCTCCTGGCAAAGATCTGGGTGCGCTCGGCTGACTTCCAACACCACCAGACGGTCACGCACCTGCTTAGGACACATTTGATCTCAGAGATGTTTGCTATCGCCATGTTCCGGCATCTCCCCGCCGTCCACCCTGTTTTTAAGGTCAGACCCTCATCAATGAATCCGGCGGTAAGCCGAAAAGGCGACTAACTAACGACAGATGTGCTCTTTCTTCCGCAAGTTGCTCATTCCACATGTCCGTTTCACCATCGCTATCAACACCAAGGCCAGAGAGCAGCTCATCTGCGAGTGTGGTATCTTTGACAAAGTGAGTTTAGTGTGTGGAGCATCTTCAGTGAAGCAATTTAAACCTTTCATGCACCCTGTAACCTGCTAACAAGGATAAGCTGTCCACTGGCGTAACCGCTGTCCCTGACAGGGTTAAGGTTAGCATAACTTGTTTTGGGAGTGCGAGTGGAAAGTGTAGACGACTCACTTGGGTATAAAAATGGATACAAATGATTATTTCTTGGACAAAAGGATCCAAACCAGATTTTACACTTGCACTTTGCTTTAAAAAAAAAAAAGGCTAAGCTTTTCATTTTGTAAATATTGTCCAAGTTACACCACTGCCGGTCTGTTGGAACGTCAACATGATGCTTCTCATCCATGTAAACGACTCGACAACCCCTCCTTGAAATGATCTCAAAGAACAATAATGTGTGTTTCTTCCGGCCCGACAAGGCGAACGCCACAGGCGGAGGTGGTCACATGCAGCTGGTTCAGAAGGCCACCAAAGCCCTGACCTTCAGGTCTCTCTGCTTCCCCGACATGATCAAATCTCGTGGAATGGAGAGCAAGGAGGAGGTTCCTACCTACTTCTACAGAGACGATGGCTACAAGGTGTGGGAGGCCACCCAAAGGTGAGGAACAAAAATAGTGCTCGCCGAGTTATTTGGTTGCCCATACTTGACTCGGATCGTCTCCCTAAAGTCAGGAAAAGCCTACTAGAACATCTGAACTTTATTTAGGGTTAATCAGAGGCACTTTAAAGGGTGGGAGGCATGATTTGAGTTCTGACTGACATTTAGCACCCTGGGTTTAAATGTGTTTAGCTGATTCTAAAAACTTATGAGGGTGTGCACACTTATGCAACCAACCACATGCCAATTGTTCATCACTTCCCCCATCCCCCACAAAAAAAACATGTTTTGAGTTGTACAGGTTATAGGTCAGGTTAATGGTGGTTAAGTTTTGAAATGCTTCAGGTGTTGTCTTTTTATTTCATATAAACTTGGAATTTGAACAGGGGTGTGTAGACTTTTTACGTCCTCTGTATTTGGACTTCATACTCGAATGTGTCTTTTGCAGCTTTGTATCCGACGTGGTCGCTATTTACTACACCAGCAACGAGAAAGTGCAGGGGGATGAGGAAATCCAGGCCTTTGTTAAAGACGTGCGTACCTTCGGCATGCAGGATTTGGATACGTGTGGTACGTAAAACCGTAATCTAATCTCAAAAGTCAAATGTGCTCGACGGGAACAAACAAGCTCAAATGTATTCATGAGAAAAAAAGCGTCACGGCGTCCCCTAGTGTGTTGCGCAAGCATGCGTAGTTGTCACGTGTTTGCCAATGCCAATTCTTTGCAGATTTCCCAAAGGCGCTGAAATCTCGCGAGGAGCTGATTGAGTACTTGACCGTCATCGTGTTCACTGCGTCGGCTCAACACGCAGCCGTCAACTTTGGACAAGTATGTCAAACTACTTCATTGTCAGTCGATTTTCTTTTAGCTTGCAATAAATGGTTAGATAGTTTGACCGTAGTTTAAATTCATGGAATTGAAAAGATTTGTAATAATAATAATAATAATAATAATAATAATAATAACATCAAATATGATCGAGCTCAAAAAGAATCTCAATCAAATGTGTCACTTTCCTTGAGGGGAGGATTTTAATTGATGTCTGACCACGGTGATTTATAACATTTTAAATTAGAGTTTAAAAACGTACTAATTACTAACGTTAACATCAAGAATAACTATTATTATCATTTTATTAGTAGTCATATTGTTTCGCTAAAATTGTCAGACAGTATGATGAAAATGTCTTTTTTTTCAAGAGCCAATACTGAATTCAAACGTATGATTTTGAATAAGCATATTCTGATGATGACTATTATTTAAAAACAAAAAAATACATTTGTGAACATTTTAGAGATTTAAATATTGAAATGTTAATTGTAACAAAAATATTATTATTATTATTATTATATAATAAGAATTTATATAATAATAATAAGAAGACGAATGATACAACTAAATGGACAATTTAACCACAATTTAAAAAGTATGATCGTGATTTTATGGATGAAGTCCCATTTTCTATTCTGAGGAACAAAAATGTGCATTAAAAATATTATTAGCGATTATTCTTTAAACCCGTAGACCTGCTAAAACAAGAAAAAGATGTAAGGGGAAAATATGAAAATACTGGGTTAAAAAATGTTTTTTTAAATGAACAATTCTCATTTATAATAATAAGAATAAGAATATTCCATCCAGCGCAAATGCAAAAAATACCGTAGGTATCGTAGCATCGAGTGTTCAGATGAACAAACTGTCAACTCTTTGTGACCGCATCAAGTACGACTGGTGTTCCTGGATTCCCAACGCTCCGTCCACGATGCGGAAGCCTCCGCCCACACAGAAAGGTGTGGCCGACGTCACCCTGATCATCGACAGCTTGCCGGACCGAGGACGCTCCAGCTGGCACCTGGGGGCCGTCTGGGCCCTCAGCCAATATCAAGAGAATGAGGTGGGTGTTACGTTTGCAATTGTAGAGTAAATAGCAACCGCGGAGCAAAAAGAAGCTGACACAGCTCGTCACATATGCGACGTAAGGATCTGCGGAAATTCATCCATTCTTGTCGATATTTTGACTCAATAGGGTGAAAAAAAAATTGTCACGATAAACTTTCCTCCACGTACTTTTAGCTCTACTTGGGAATGTACCCCGACGAGCACTTCATCGAGAAGCCAGTGAAGGAGGCCATGGAGAAGTTCCGGAAGAGCCTGGAGGAGATCAGCAGCGCCATCAAGACAAGGAACCAGGGAAAGAAACTGCCCTATTACAACATGTCCCCCGATAAAATACCCAACAGTGTTGCTGTTTGAGGGCCGCGCTCATCCATATTGTGCCCAAACATTGGCTTCTTTTCAGAAATGCAGACAATAAAAAGACACATTGACCTTAAAACAACCTTGGGTTCATCCGCTTCTGCATAGCATTGATTCTCAAAGTGCAGTCAGCAAGCTCTCACAACATGAATTAAATGTTCAAACTGTGCGTAATGTTACAGAGACTTAAATTCTGTTTTCAAATATTAATTTGGGTATAATTTTTAACTTTTGTTCTGGACATTTTTCGATATTTAAGTGCAGTTTTAATGTTTTCAAACCATGCATAACGGTAACGTGGCCTACACCAATATTAATGATACTTTTTAAGACTTTCCAAATCCTATTATTGCACATTGATGAACACTTACGCCTACTGCGCTACAGGTATGTTCTTTCAATTCTGGTCCTGATGGTGGTATTCGGTATGAAAGGTTTGAGAACCACTGCTGGATAGAAATTGGTATTGGCCGGTCACACTCGTCTTGGTTTGCTTCTTTAGAAGGCAGTCGCATTCTCTTGATTCAGCTACAAATGTACACTAGGTGGCAGCATTGATTCCAAATGGAATCATTCACCATATCGCATTCCACAAATGTCAACTACAATTTGGTTATTTTATCCACGCCACACAGGTCTTAACGTGTCCGGTTCCGCACTCACTTGATAGACGGGTAGCCTTATCATGCCCAAACAGTTTTGCTGTACGACAGAAGAATTGCATCCACTTCCTCTGTTGTTATTAATTGAGATGGATATTTTAGAAAGGCAGTCGGACGGACAGAAATTTGAAAGGGAACAGGCAAAATAGAGCAGGATTGGACAAGGCAGAATTGATTTGGATCTACTGTATATGTGATCTATGTAAACAATACTACACTCTGTGTTTAAGGCATTCAACAAAATGACAGAGGAGGGAAGGTCTGAACCAGATGCAGGACGATGAAACTGAAATTCATCAATATGTGGTATGAAATGGGAGCACTACACCCTGTGAAAAAGGGACTCAACAAATGACAACTATGACAGGACGGGGAAGAGCAGGACAGGACAGGATGTTACCGGACAGGACTGAATGGGCCAGGACAGGATGGAAAAGAATTAGACTGGATCTATAGGTGGACTGAGAAGGCAATGCTACACCTTGTGAGAAAGGGACAATTAGCAAATATGACCGGACAGGCCAGGGCAGAACAGGATTTTCTCCCTATGTGGTCTGAGAAGGTAGTACAACACCTTGTAAGGAAGGCATGCGGGTAGTAGATTGACAAAATGGGGGAGGACAAGACCGGATTGGAATAGCCAGGTTTGGACAGGACAGGATTGGATTTTATCTATATTTGGTCTGGGAAGGCAGTAGTACAACACTGTGTGTGGAAGGGACGCAACAAATAGCAAAAATGACAGGATGGGGTCGGACAAGATTGTGCTGGCCAGGTCTGGATAGGACAGGGCTGGATTTTATATAGATGTGGACAGGGAAGGCAGCGCTACACTGAAGACTGAGGAGCTAATTTTGGGCCAGGACAGAACAGGATTCTACCTATATATTTGTGGCAGCATAAAACTAGATTATGCAAGGAAGGGTCGCGACAAATAACACATACGTACGACACGATGTCCCAGGACAACTTGGAAAGGGATTGCACAGGACTGAACTGAACAATACAGTAATGGATTAGATTTTCTCTCAAAGTTGTCCGGGAAAGCAGTGCTACACCCCGGGAAGAAGGGATGTAACTTGTAACAAATATGACAGGACCATCATTTTTTATGACATTTTTGTTTGGCGTTCAGCCGTGAGGTACAAAACATGGTTAAAAAAAAAAAAAGTGTCTGAAAATGGGTGGCACTGAATGAGTTGGGAAGGGCTGGGGAGGAGACCATAAATGTACAACAATTTCCTCTTCTGTGCTCACATCGGATTTCAGAAACTTTTTGAGAACTTTTCCATCTGACGCGGCAGCAATGGCGTACACATATGTGGTGAGCGTGGCCACGGGAACTCAAGGCAGGTCAGGGACCGATAACTACATCAGCATAACGCTGGTGGGCACCGAGGGCTGCAGCCAGAAGACACGGCTGGACAAACCTAAGCACGATGACTTTGAGAGGGGCTCTGTAAGTGACATTTTCATCCACACAATTCATCATATTCATATTGGAGGTGATCTCGTCAAAAGATCTTTTATGAGTGTGAACCATGTTGGCTGGAAGGAAACATCTGCCGCTGTCTACAAAAAAGCCTGCAAGTGTCACGTTACATTCCGAATTATTGCCTGAGGGAGGTATGCAGAGAGACTCACATCACCCTCCTATGTTTCATCGCTGATAAGACACAACAAAGACAACTGCCAGACCACCTAAAGCCGTTTCTGCATTCATAACTTTGTAACCGAAAACGTGAATGTACACTTGGCATGACAATAAAGACTCTCATTCATAATTCTGACATTTAATTGATGACCGACAATTTTCTGCTGCAAACATTTGCAACAGCTCTCGGTGTGATGTAATGCAGTGCTACCCCACTGCAAACTATGTTACTCGTATAACTAGCGTACCACTGTTATCTCTATAAAAAGGTCAAACCGATGACACGCGTCATTGCTCGCAGGTGGATTCCTACCCGATCAAGGTGCAGGAGAACTTGGGTGAACTTGTGTTGGTGAAGCTGGAGAAGAAAAAATACATGGCACAGGACGACTGGTACTGCAGGTACGTCTCGGTCAGGACTCCAGGTGGGGACAGCGTGGAGTTCCCATGCTATCGCTGGCTGGTGGATGACAAGGAAGTGGTGCTGCGGGATGGACGAGGTATAGGGTCGCAAACCGCAGCGGGTCAGGTACACTGATTTCATTCGATAACGTGGTGTTTCTCTGGCTTGTTTTAAGCTCACCTGCCTCAGGATGATAAAACGAGCCCGTTCAAGCAGCTCAGACAAACCGAACTGGAAATGAGGCGGAAAGCCTACAGGTATGTCTCATCTGACCGTGATGTCTGTGACTGAGCGCCACATGCTCTGGAACTGTTTTTTGTGCACCTTAGATGGATGAGGTGGCAGCCCGGCTTTCCTATGAGCATAGATGCAAAAAGACATCAGGATTTGCCCCGGGACATCCAGTTCAACAGCGAGAAAGAAGTGGATTTTGTGCTGAATTACAGGAAAGCGTATGTATTGCCCCTAATAGCCTCGATCACATACTGATCGCCAGACAGTTGAGGCGTTTCTCAAACTTTTTGACAAATTGCTAATAAGCATGAATTTCCAGAATCCAGAACCTGCTCATGAACCGCTTCACGTGCATGTTCCAGTCATCCTGGAAGGACATAGCCCATTTTAAGAAGATCTTTTTCAGCATCAAAAACCCAATCTCAGGTCAGCATCAGATGTACATTTTGTTCTTTACTTCCACATCTCATTTCACTGAAATTTCACATTTCACTTGAATTACTTACACTTCAGGTTATGTGATGCAACACTGGAAAGAGGATTTCATGTTTGGCTACCAGTTTCTGAATGGCTGCAATCCTGTCCTGATCCAAAAGATTAGCAAACTTCCCGACAAGTTTCCCGTCACCAATGAGATGGTTGCTGTCAGCCTGGAGAGAGAGTTGACTCTCGAACAAGAAATAAAGGTAGACTTACTGTAGTCATTGCAATTTGTCTCGATACGGATGATTTCAGTCAAACCTGAACAGAAGACTTGATTGAGGTAGAATGGACCTTTCCCACTGAGAAGGAGTCCTCCAAGGTCCAGTTTTTTGCCCCAACCTGAACAGAAGACTTGATTGAGGTAGAATGGACTTTTCCCACTGAGGAGGAGTCCTCCAAGGTCCAGTTCTTTGCCCCTTTTCCTGTAAATCTTCTACCTATTCCCCCTTCTGTCAGATACTCTCGTCATGGTCTCACTAGCATTGGTTCGTTGATGACGACAATTTCTAACAGGAGTATGATCCATAAATCAACCAATAAATTGTGCTAAATAAAGGCTTCCATCACTGCTCCAGGCGGGGAACATCTACATGGTGGATTACGAAGTGTTGGATGGCATCAAAGCAAACGATACAGACCCAAAGACTCCGCAATACATGACAGCTGCCATCTGTCTTCTGTACAAGAACACACAGAACGAGATCCTTCCGATAGCCATCCAGGTAGGGCGGTATGGGATATGAGCCAGTCTTCCTCTACTTTGACAATATTTTCTATCGTTGCCTTGCAGTTGGGTCAGATTCCAGGTGAGGACAACCCCATCTTCCTGCCCACAGACAGCGAAGACGACTGGCTCCTGGCAAAAATGTGGGTGCGCTCGACCGACTTCCAGCACCACCAGACGGTCACTCACTTGCTCAGGACGCATCTGATCTCAGAGATGTTTGCCATCGCTATGTTCAGGCAGCTCCCCGCAGTCCACCCTGTTTTTAAGGTGATAACTCTCGCTCATTAACTTGAATGAAGGACTGAAAACTAGTAATGGTTGTGCTTATTCACAGCTACTCATTCCACATGTGCATTTCACCATCGCTATAAACACCAAGGCCAGAGAACAGCTCATCTGTGAACATGGTCTCTTTGATAAGGTGAGTTGTTTTGAGCGGAAAGCATTCTTAGATCATCTTATACCAACTTGGGTGTTATTTGTATGAGTCCTGAAGATTAGTTTCATCAAGCTTGTGGTAGACAAAAAGTTAACTAAGTCCTGGTAAGGATTCAATGAAAGTTGACATGAACTTGGGAAATACAAGTTCTAGTTTTGAATGTGTGAGGGCATCCTTAGGCTCTGAAAATTGGGGTAAGACTTTGAAGACTCCGAACAGGCACAGGTTCAGAAGATTTGGGGACAGACCACATCTTGTGAGGTTCTGGAACAGAAACAGGCACTTAAGGACTGAAGACATCTGAAGACATCTGCAATATCAAACTTTTACACTTTGAAGACTAAAAGATAAGGTCTGAAGAACTGGTGGCAGACTGACAGCCCCATGTATGACACCTAATCTCAGGTATACCCATAGACGGGACAGGATCTGCACTTCTAGACCAGGGGCAGAAACTCAAAGACTAAAAATATGAGGGCATACCAAGATTTGGGTAAGAGCTTGGCCCTCTGAGGCTTTAAGGACTCTGAACAAAAATATTCTTCAGCTTCTGGGGAAGTCTAGATGGGTTCTGAACCATCTGCGGGACAAGGTCAAGCTCAGTCTCAACCTTTGAAGACTCAGGGACAGATGACAATCTGTGGATTGTAAGGGACAAGATTGAAGACAGAGTTCTCAGATACAGATTCAAGTTGTGGACAATGACAATGAGATTGAGGACTAAGTGGCTTGACCCAATTTAGAGGAAACATTCTATGTATGTGGACTCGGCTACATTTAGAAAGTCTCAAGAGTTCAGAGTCCACATTCTTTTGTTCCTTCCCACATGTCAAGGCGAATGCTACAGGTGGAGGTGGTCATGTGGAACTGATTCAGAAGACCATGAAGACCCTGACATTCAGATCTCTCTGCTTCCCGGATATGATCAAAGATCATGGCATGGACAGCAAGCAGGACGTTCCCAACTACTTCTACAGAGACGACGGCTACAAGGTGTGGAAGGCCACCAAGAGGTGAAGACCGTTTTGAGGATCCAAAATTTTGCTTGCCTTGTTATTTGTTTCTCCAGACTTAACTTGGATCATCTTCTTGTAGCTTTGTGTCCGATGTGATCGGCATTTATTACAGCAGCGATGAGGAGGTGCAGAGTGACGAAGAAATCCAGGCCTTTGTTCAAGATGTACGTGACAACGGTATGAAAGACTTCGATCACTGCGGTGGGTATCACTGACGTATGAACATCCGATATATCATACACAAGAGCAACTTTAATTCTTACCTGGTGACATATTTCCATGCAGGGTTCCCCAGGTCGCTTGAATCCCGCGAGGAACTGATCGAATATCTGACCATCATCGTGTTCACGGCTTCAGCCCAACACGCAGCTGTCAACTTTGGACAAGTACGGTACAGATTAGTGATTCCAAATGAAAAGCGGAGGTCTTTCCTGCAGTTGTAAACGGTCATATATGAAACTGACACAGTTTCCACAATGCGCAGCGACTACAAAAATGTGACAGTCATGTAAAAATATTTTTACATTTGAGTACAGAGTGTAAACTTTTTCTTCACTTACCAAGTTCGACTGGTATTCCTGGATTCCCAATGCTCCGTCCACCATGCGGAAGCCTCCACCAAATCGAAAGGGTGTGGCAAATATAACCCTGATCATGGAAAGCCTCCCGGATCGAGGACGCTCCAGCTGGCATTTGGGTGCCGTCTGGGCCCTCAGCCAGTACCAAAAGAACGAGGTACATGTCTTCTTTTCCACGTCAACACCCGAGAAACCTGTCTCCACTTGCGTGTTCTCATTTATGTTTTGCAGCTCTACTTGGGAATGTACCCCGACGAGTACTTCTTGGAAAAGCCAGTGATAGCTTCCATGGAGAAGTTCAGGAAGAATCTGGCAGAGATCAGCAGCGGCATCAAGACAAGGAACCAAGGCCTGGAAATGCCCTACTACAACCTGTCCCCTGACAGGATACCCAACAGTGTGGCTGTTTAAACAAACATGGACTCTCTGCACTGTTTTTCTTAACTATACTTCAAAATAGGGAAATTGGGAAGGAAATGTAGTAAGATTTCAACTTTCCCAGCTATCATACAAGTGTACTCTACTGTCTAATTAAAATTTGTGTGATAATTTTTTCCCCAAAAAATTATCTTCTGGCTCAATAAGTTTTTAGTCATTTTAATATACTTTTTCTCTACTTTGCTTTGAAATGTCTTAAATTCTGTTTTTTTCATGTTATTCTTTTGCCTCTAAATGTTTTGTAACTCTGCGACGCACATTTAGTTACCTTGTGTATGAAATGCACAATACATAGCTGCGTTGCCTTGCCTTATTCAATTTCACAGGTAGAAAACATTATAGTGTATAGTACTGACACGTCCCGCCATTGCAAGAAACTAAGGTCACTAACAAAATCGTTTACAAATTTTCTGACGACACACGTAATTCATGTATGCTTACTTTAACTTTTTATCTGTAAATTAATCCCTTCAGTCCGGCTCCCAATAAAGTGAAAATAGCGAATGTGCTTTGATGAAGTTTTTGGAACGTAAATTCCGCCTGAGGGGACATGGAACTCACTCGGCCACGCCATTTAAAGGCACAGTACATAAATTCACAGCACAGTTCGTGCTTTTCTTGATAAACACCAAACTTGAAAAGCATCTCAACTTTTATTTGGTTGTTCGTTTTGAATTCTACACACTTTTTGTTCAAACATGGGAACAGAAAACATCAACAGTTTTAATTTTTTTTTTTAAAAAAAGAGGACGACTTTTTTTGTTTTGTTTTTTCCAAGTCGCTTTTACACTATTATTATTCCAAAGTGACGTTCACAGACAAACTTGTGGAATGATATAGATGAGGGGGAACAGTCATCATATATGTTCAAGTCCAGTCAATAGTAAAAAAAAAAAAAAAAAAAAATGTAGCTTTATGCAAGTTACATTTTTGTGCCCTCTCCCCCCTCCCTCGCCCAGACACGACGAGTAAAAGCAGCAAAGTACATATAAAAACACAACTTACATCTTTATGTGCCATGTCACACTCAATGGGATCTTTATATAGGAATGTTTACATCTAAGGCTCAAAACTTAATGCGAGGAGCCAGCTCCCATTAAAAAAAAAAAAAGAACATTCTACAGCCTCGCATCCACTTTAAGCATGAACATACATTAAATAATCAATTTACAGATACAGCATGTTAAAACACATTTTAATAAGCAATTCCTAATAATTAAAAAAAAGGTGATTTGTACTGACAAAAGCGACAGGGAGGGGAAGGTGAAAATGTAGACTTTGTAAAATTACTTGGAAAAAGGGACATGGATGAGATTAACAAACATTTTTTTGGAAAATAAATACAACACAAACAAAAACATCATTTTACACCCAGTGGACGAGAAACACGGTAAGCAACTATAGAAGAGAGCAACAACGTAAAAAGGTAATTGCACTTTTTTTTTCGCCCACCTCATTTTTTTTAATGCTCTCATTGCACCAAGCCGCCGAAAAAGAAATCAATCTTCCTCCAACTGACATGAAAAGAAAAAAAAAAAAAACATCCTTCTGCTTGTTATTAAAACAAAGCCACTATGTGATGTGGGCATAAATACAAAACAAACAAAAATGTTGGTTTCATTTATTGCTGCTGAGCAATCAGTATTACCAAGTGTGTTGTGACACCATTGCGCTTTTCGGGCAGTGGCGAGTATCAAAAAAGACCCTTGAAAAATATGACTTTTGTGTGTGCGTGGAATGGTTATAAAGGTCAACATTCTCTCGCTCTCACACACGCACGCACACACACACACAAAGAGTTGCCTTGAGAAATCAACCGCCGTTTTACTGCTTTGCCAGCCTCCCACCACCCGAGGGCGCTAGAACGAGTCCAGCGCTGACTTCATCGACAAGGAATGGGCAGACGTATTTATTTGAGGGTGGTCTTTCAATTTCCTTGGTGTCTTTTCATACACCTTTTTTTCCTGATCACAAAAATCTTCAATTATCTTTTTCAAATATGTTTGAACCAAAAATCTGTGCAAATGCAATGGAAGCAACTACCACAAAGCCCTTTTTCTTTCTGGGACCAAACTAAAGCCCGACTGATTTATCAGCTGGCCGATATCAGTGCTTTCCAAATTGATATTACCAACCCCACCGAAACCCCTCCCAAAAAATGTGTGCATTATATATACAGTACATATATGAATCAGCGCGAAATTGTATTCTGCCAAATATTGGACTCGGCCTCAAAATTTGGTGGGCCCTAAATTAAACTATGAAATATGGTATTCATTTTGTTGTTTGGGTGGCAGTAGATTTCGCAACGGTGGATTTCTCCAGGAAAGAATTTTACAGTACTGGAATATGGCAACAAGTTAACGTGGGCGTCTAAATGTATTTTCCTGAGGCTGTTTTTACAGGTCGAGGCTCTTCTGAACCAGACGCCAGTAGGACAAAGTTAGAAAACCACAACTTGGCCAATCAAGTTCCGGAAGCCAAAATGCTGTAAAATCAGCCGCTGGACTATCGATAAACGACGCTCACATTAAGCTAGCCACATTTCATTAAATGCTAGCACGCACGCTCCAGAATTCAAACGTACAAAGTTGTCACGGTGAGCTCAGAGACATAGAAAAAGATCTAAAAATGTGTTTGTTTTTCTTGTTTTTTTTTTTTTTCTCGGGTTTTGAATTTCAAATAAAACAAAAAAAGTACATTCTCTTTCAAAAGTGTGGATGCTTTTTTTTTTCCCTCCCCAAAGGAAAAAGGGAATTGACATCCTGGTTAAAAGTCTTTTTTTTTTAAGAGTTCTTCAGTTATCAACTTTTACGTGTCCGCATCTGCCAAGAAGAAACCAAAAAAGTGCTTCAATGCGCATCCACGTGTTGGTGGACTGAATCCAACGTGTGGGTGGACACGCCCACGATACCTCCCCAACTTCACAGATCCACGGCACGTTTGGTCCGGGACTCACAAGAGGTCAAAAACATAACCGTGCATGTGTGTGTGTGTGTGTGTGTGTGTGTGTGTGTGTGTGTGTGTGTGTGTGTGTACTTGTTTTTCTTGCTTAGCATGGCACCAAACTTGACATTACTGTGTGGACGTTGCGCCTAAAATGTGCATGGCTGAGCTCCTTTGACCGTCTTTGTGTTCTTGTCTTTCTATGCGAGTGTGGCACCAGACTTGACATTATTGTGGGGAAATTCTATCGAAAATTCAGCTTTCTATGTTTAGCGCAAGCACCAAAGTCGACATTGTGTGGACGTTTTTCAATTTGGGGACATTTTTAAAAATGTATGGATGAGCTATTCCTTCTGTATCATAGGCATGTGCGTGGGTGTGGTGTTTTTTTTTTCCTTTTCATTCGTGTGGTGCTGCACATGATCGTGCGGCCATTTTCCTTGAGGGGACACTTTAGCAAAAACAACTGCGTGTGTGTGTGTGTGTGTGTGTGTGTGTGTGTGTGTGTGTGTGTGTGTGTGTGTGTGTATACATTCTGGCCTTTCTGTCTTAGTGTGACTGCTGACCACTTATGGCAGGGGGAGGGAACTCCGGTTACTCGAGAGCCATATCCTGTCTGTTTTCGATCCCTCCCTACACCAACACACCTTATTCAAACAATCAGCTCATCAGCAAGCTCTGTGGAAGCCTGAAATGATCATGGCCAATTGAATCAGGTGTGTTGGTGTGGGAGGGATCGAAAACAGGCAGGATATGGCTCTCAAGGAACCGGAGTTCCCTACCCCTGATTTATGGTGTGAGCACTTTGCGGGGATATAAAATAAATAAATAAATACATGGCACAATGTCCTTGAACTACGGTGGTGTATTCTTGTTTTCTATCTAAATGTGGTACCTTTGAGGAATAACGTTCCGATAATCTCCTGTCACTCAATTTATTGGACTGACTGAGTGTGTGTGTGTGTGTGTGTGTGTGTGTGTGTGTGTGTGTGTGAGAATGTATGTGCGCGCGTGTGGTGGGGGGGATGTCTTATTTTAGGTCCCTAAAACCAGCATCCTGACAGCAAAAGAGGCAACAACTCGGCTCCACCGTCCCTCTCTGTGGATCAATCGTTGGATGATCAACTGAGTTCTCTGTTCGATACCTGCACGTCACACGTGGAGCACCTCCATACTGTAGTCCTCCGTCTCCGTATAGTGCGAGGAGTTTGTGTCGGAATGGGCGGGAGCAAGCGTGTCCTTGTGTTCCACGCTGGGCTCCAAGAGCGGCGGCTTCTCCAGAGCCAGTTTTTTACACGTGTCCGGCCGGTTCTGCACGTAGATGACGCGGTTGTAGGCCTTGAGTCTCCTCCACAGGTGGACGTAGACCTTGCACTGCACATACATGAACACCAGGCCACCCGTGAAGCCGATGGCCACCACTACCAGCTTGGTCCAGAAGGGCCACTCCATAATGCCTGAAGAGGGCGGCAGGGTGTGGGGGAAGGGAAAAAAAAAGCTTCATGTAAGATGGGGCAACCAACCATTGTGTGGATATATGTGTGTGTGTGTGTGTGTGTGTGTGTGTGTGTGTGTGTGTGTGAGCGTGCGTGAGAAAGAGGGAGAGATAGTCAATACAGGAAGGAGAATAACTTGCTATGTCATTTCTAGACTTACTTAAAAGCAAGATAAAGCAAGTTTGCCGCATACACTGGGCAGACTAGTTTCATACTGTGTGTAGTGCTATTAATCGCCACTAGAGGGAGACGTTTCTGCTCAAATTACAGGTTAAGCTTAAGACAAATATTGCCTCGAGAGTAACAAATGAAATAAATGACAACACAAAAAAGATATTTGATTAATTTAGAACATAATAGTGCGTCTAATACAAAAATAAACAGAGTTAGAAAAGACATTACACCGAGAAGAAATTTTAAAAACAATAGTCAACTCAAAGACCAAGTTAACCTGAAACCACCCCGAAATATTTCATAAATTAAAAATGTTCTTCGAGAAAATATCAATATTGTCGTACAAAGTAAATGAAAACCAATCAATTGTGAATTTAAAATGATGCAATTAAATCAAATATTACATATAAAATAGTATAGATACTTCAATTGAAGGTTATATAAATTAACCTTGCGCATGCAAAAAATATAAAATAAATTCAGTTAACTGGATTTAATTAATAAAATTGTTGTAAAATTGTGAAAATAGCTAATATAGCATAATTAAACAAATTAATGTGGAATTGAAAAATTACTAAAAACAATTACACATCTAACACTGCACTTGAAAAATATTTAAAATGAAAGAAAGTCAAACAAATATCACACATACCAAAAATAGTAAATGAATAAAATAAAAAAATGTACATACAATTTTCTAATGAATTTAAGCTACTGTAATTAACATTGCCAATGCTTTTAAAATATATTTATTCTGACTGAACTGATAGAAAATACAAATTACATTTAAGTGACCAATACATTAAATATCAAGAAATATTGCATATTATTAAAGAAGTAAAAAAAACCTGACATGAAAACTAAAGAAATATTTCTGAAATACAAAATATGGTCTTTGACCACCAGAAGGCGCCTTCGTATCACATTTGGAAAAATCACTGCTTTCATGAATCTTGGTGCATTTGTTTTTATGGTCAGAACATTTGAGTTGTAAAGAATTTTGGATTTGACAGTTAAATTAGCACACATTAACACAAACATGGGCGGGGAAAGGGCCACTGCGTGCAAACACACAAGACTGATGGGTGTGGGAATAAGTTCAAAATGCAAAACATTTACCTGGAATACTTCGGGCTGCATGAGTAAAGGGAACAATGAGTTCATTTTAGGTTTGAGTGTTATCGTAAACTAAGGCAGAGGTTTATTTCCTAAAAAGTACATTCAATATTACTGAAAGCCACTGTAACGTTAGGAACTGTGTCAACCTAGACACTAAACACAGAAAAATGTACTGTACTGACATGATCCTGTTAAACAGTACATAACAACTGTGACCCTGGAGTATGACATTCTGTGACACCCATTCAAATGCATGGTTGGGGGGGAGAAATCATCCAAAAATACTGATACATCGAATAGCGATTTTCCGTGTAAAATGGAGAAATAGGGGAACGACTGAAAATAACAACCCCGCAATTTTTTTTTTTTCAATAAAACATTTTTTCAGAATTCGTAAATCCGAACGACTGAAAATAACAACCCCGCAATTTTTTTTTTAAATAAAACATTTTTTCAGAATTCGTAAATCCACAGGTATCAAAAGCGCGAGCATGTGGGGGTCGACTATGCATACCAATGGTCCATGAGTAAAATTGAAAAGAATTTACCCAAATAAAAGTTTCAAAATAAACATTACATATATTTTTTGAAAAGCCAATTTGTAGAGAAATAAGATAATTTTTTTCATACAAAAGTCTGAATTTGGAAAAAAAAAATTCAAGAAAAACAAATTTCACGAGAAAGATTGCCCATGTTTGTACTATTTTATTTTTAGAAGTAAAAAAATCTAATATGAATAATGTTGTAATTTGTAAGCGGGGGAAAAAAGGTCTATGTTTTCATGGGATTATTAGTATTATTATTTTTTTTTTACCCGCAACACTAATGTTCTCTTCCGAGAAATCAAGTTGTACTTTCACACGTACCACTCGATCTTCAGAATCCTTGGTCCAACGACTGAAATGTTTAAGAAGTGACGACAACTACTTCAACAATTCACAACACTCTGATAAGGTGGTTTCAAAATGGCCGACCTTGTTTGATTTCGTCCGCCGTCCTGTCAATGAGCACGTAGAGTGACCACACCACGCACGTGATGGCGATAACATGGAAGGTGACTGAGCACATGATCTTACGCCGCTCGCTCGCCGTCATCTGTAGCTTCTCCCACTGTGAGAATTGCCCAAAAAATAAAATAAAAAATAACAACAGTAAGCCAGTTCGAAAAGCATTCACAGTGAACCACCAAAAACAGACATACGCATGTACGCTGCAGGAGGCTCAGCTCCTCTCTTGGATTCTTAGAACAAACTAACAGTATTGGTCATTCTTCACAGAGGATAAAGAATATACGCCCAGGAGTATTTTTATATGTTCTGCCTGCATGTATGGCAGTAACATTAGTGTTCAAATATCTGTTGTTTAAAGAGTATCAACATTGACACAGACGCTAATTATTAGCCCGCGTGCTATGGAGTTTCTCATGGCATGTTAGCATTAAGCTAACAGAGATTGTCGTTGCTATAAATACATAATGTTTAATTCTCATTTTGAAAAGACTTGTGGTGACTCTGGGGCACTTCTTGAGAGTCACAAGGAATCAAACCCCATAGTGCCATTTTTGTGTCAGCACTACGTTTAGGTGGCATCAGTTTTTTTGGTTTTGGTTTGGTTTTTTACTGTCAGGCTGCTTCGCCACTCTGTTTGGTTTATTGTAAATCTGACTGTCGTCGCCGCTGTCAGGCGCATCGAGGTGGTGAAGGTTCAGAATTTGCACGCTATGAAAAGAATTTGCATACTTGCGGTTAGTTGACAACAGTAGCGCATGTTTTTTTTTCAAAGTCGTGGCAGCTGGCTATCAGCACAAGTGACATCATGGAAGTTGCTTTGGCACAAATTAAATTCATGTTTATTCAAACGGTTTAAAAGGCAAAAGCAGAGCAAATATTATTGACTCTTTATTGGGGATTTTATTTTTTTTCTGCGGAGCTGCCTGGAGCGAAGTTGCTTTGGCACAAATTAAATTCATGTTTATTCTAACAGTTTAAAAGGCAAAAGCAGAGCAAATATTATTGGCTCTTTATTTGGGATTTTATTTTTTTCTGCAGAGCTGCCTGGAGCCTGATATAATATTTTCAGAAGTGATCCGGAGCCAATGCAACATGATGGTTGTTTACGAGCAATCTTCTGTCATTGGGTGAGCGCTATACCACAGAAACAAACTAGCATAGAATGAAGAATTTATTATGGTAATTTAAGTAAAATCATCTGCCAATAAAACTATCCGGAGCCAATGCAACATGATGGTTGTTTACGAGAAATCTTCTGTCATTGGGTGAGCGCTACACCACAGAAACAAACCAGCTTATTTATTATGGTAATTTAAATAAAATCATCGGAAAGTTTCACTTGGCAACATTTCTTAAAACATGCAAGCAATATCTTGCATTAAAAAAAAATGATGTCATAAAACGACAAAGTGATAAGTGCATTTGCAGTTTGACTAACGTACCTTGCGCAGAGGCTTGAGCTTGGTCTCCATGATGAACTCGTACTTGCAGAGCTCGCAGCAGCGCGTGTCCGAGCTCTTGATCCACTGCTGCAGACACGACTGATGTACGAAGCGCAGGCTGCCCGTGCAGTGGCACGGCGTGATCAGAGGGCTCTCGTCGTCGCCTTCACAGTGACAGATCCTGAAGCGCGACGACAAATATAAATATACATTTATATATTTCGTAAGATGGACCACGAGACGCATCCAATATACATACCGATGCATGTGTGGACAGAACACTGGAAGCATTTTTCACAGGTAAATATGTTCATTTTTTTTTTTTTTTTTTTTTTGGCATCGACAAGAGAAGCAAACCTCATGAAAATCGGTTGAAAATGAGCAAGCGACGACTTAATTTCAATGTCCGTACAATGCATTTGATGTGAACATTGACCTCCCCAACATGGCCGCCATGTTGACCCATTAGTTAATTGGCTGCCTCAATGCGCTTGGCATGTGTAGTCTTTCTCTTCATATCTGTGAATCTATCCAGTCATCCTGAATAAAAATATTTGAGGGATACAATGGCGTGGGGAGGATGGGCTGCGAATGGGGGGGGGGGGGGGGGGGGGGGGGGGGGGGGGGTCAGCCAGACATTTGGTCTAGCTTGAATCTAGTATAACTAGCCAATTGTATATGCTAAAGTCTTAACTATCTATCTGTCTGTCCATTACACGCCCATCTTAACTGTGAAAGAAGCTGAGAGACAGACCACTAATCACCTGCTGTGAGCTTCCAGCCACCTGACAGGAAGCTGCCATGACATGCTGCTTGTTTGGGTGCGTGTGCAAGAGATGACAAAGCCAATTTGACGCCTTTAATCCACCGCACATCCTCCTCAGCTGCCTCTCTCGTGTTTGTCCGTGAAGAGCACAAACTGACATTCACGTCTAAGACGGCCAAGCGGGGACATTCCCGTTGGCACGTGAGCCGCCGCTTTGATTAATCCACTCAACCTCAACCGCAGACGTCCCTGAGGGGCTCTCCTAAAGTAGCCCGAAGGTGCTAAATTAAGGATAGCTGCTAATGAGCCAATACAAACTGGAGCGACACAATGTCCAATTTTGACTGACTCTGCCGTAAAAGTATTCATTTGACGTTTACAGTTGTGTTTGAAGCGGAATCCCCTTTTTATTGCGGTGGATATGTGACTCGTCTGCAACTCCAGCTAAGACGTATACAGTAAAAACCAGAGCAAATTCAAGCCCCACTCAATATTTCAGTATTTTATACACAAATGTAAAGTTTGAGATTGGCCAAGTCACGCTCCAGATTACGTCGCTCGCTTTTTTCATGATAATTGTTCGACGGTAAACACACATCCACACACTCTGTTTAACTTTTTGGCAGTTGGCAGTGTAACATGTTATTCATCCATATTGTTAAAAAAAATATGAGATCATATGAAATATGGTTCAACTCATTTGACTGTTTTTGTTGTTGTTTTTGCTTTGAATGATTGTAATTGCCCTGTGCCGTATGACAGTTGAGTATCGCTATGGTTCACATATTGACACCCACTAGGATGACATCACATAAACACAAAAAAAAAAAGGGAAATCAAATGGCAGTGAAGTACTTTCAGGGGTTCCTCGGTTTACGATGGAGTTCCATTCTTAAGTCACTGTGCAATTGTGTCTGTGAATTTTGGATTATTACACATTGTATGCTGTAAAAGTCATTAAGAAATGACAGCTTGAAATAAAACACGAATGACACTTGGTCCAAAATAATCCACATCGGGTCAAAAAGGGATCTACCCAATTTGGGTCTTGTTGGATTCATTTAAACCCACAAGTTGGGTCAAATAATTAAGCCATAAAAAATTCACGGCCCCCACAAATATTTTGGGGGTAAAAATAACAATAAAAATATAGTTTTGGTTGTCAAAATGAATGGCCCACGTATTTTATTTTATTTTTTTGAAACCCAACAAACTGGGTTGTTTTGTTAGTTCTTTATTTGACTTTTTGGTTTATATAAAACAACCCAAATAGTTGGGCTGGTCCCCCCAAAATTGGGTTGCTTTGTGGGTTATTCATTTAACTTAAGAGTTGGGCCAGTCCGTTTTTTGACCCAATTGGGGTTATTTTTGACACACGTATTTTTTTCGCCACTGTAAACCGTCGAGGACCCTGTGGAAAGGATATAATGGGTAAACATAAATGAGGACTAATGAGCGTGTGTGTGTTTGTGTGGGTGTGCGTGTGGGTGCAGGATTCAGCCTACAAGAAGCGTCAACTACTCCATTTGCATCACTGGGGGTGGCGTTGGTTCTACCACGTCACAGCGGGGAGGGCAGGTGTGGCTGACACCATCCAGACAGTCACCCACCTGCAGCAGTCGCCCGACAACGAAAAGGGCGACAGCGGTTCCGTTTTCGCCGACAGAGGGGACGGGCAGCGGTCCAGGTCGCTGTCCTCGTCCATGTAGCAAAGCGGCGCCAAACGAACGCCCTTGGCCATCTCGTCGGCCGCAAACTCCAACTCGCTGCCTTCCATGATGGCGCTGGAGGACTTTGGCAGGCTCGACGAGGTTGACGATCGGGAGAAGGGGAGGAGGAGGCGTAGGAAATTGACGCTGGGCGAGGGGTGGGGGTAATCAGGAGCAGAGGGGGGAGCTGGAGGAGGGACGGAAGGGCCCAGCATGTACTTGTCGTTGTTCGTGAAAGAAGGGACCAGGTGGGGGTGCGCCGAGAAGACCCGACCCGGATCGGGACCGCCGTTCACTCCGCCAACCGCCTGCGTGGTTTCGGAGCCGCCCCGAGGCTGGGCGGCGTCCCCGGCCTTGGTCTCCAGTTCGCCCTCGGAGCAGGTGCGGTCGATAAAGTGCAGGCCGCGACAGAGGCCGTCCACGCGCTGGCCCACGTCGTTGAGCGATACAGAGAAACGGAGCGGGCCGTGGGGTTGACGGCCCGGGGGGCGCGCGCTGCCCAAGGTGGGCCGCAGCAGAGAGAGCCAATCCCGCTGTTTGGAGGCGGGCGGCGAGTCCGTGCAGACGGGGGGCACCGTGACACCGCCGCAACCTTCCGAGCTTTTACCGTTAGGGGCCAAGAGAACCACTGCGGTCTGCTTCTGACGCTCCTCATCTGCACCGCTAGTGTGTGCGTGTGTGGAATGTAAATGTAGTGTGACACATAGTGGTGAAGGACAGCAGGAAAGGAAGGGGGGGGGGCAGGAGAGGCCAAAAAAGAAAAGAGAAAAAAAATATGGACATTTGAGAAAAATAAAAGGGTTTGGGGGTACGGAAACTGAAAACGTGTGGCAATGAATGACCCATGTCATGAAAAAAAAAAAAATCTATTTTACAGCACGCTTACATAAACTATGCATCGTAATTTGACCTTTAAACGGTTGAAATCACATCCTCAACTGTTCAATGATTCGTACAACAGATTAGCAGAGCAAGTTTTAGTTGTAGTCAGAGTGTTCACCACGAGGTGTTCAGACATTGCTCAGAAGGACGAGGTCATGAAAATGGGGTCTTTCAGAATTTACCTCAAAAGTAACCAAACAGTAATTCTTTCCCCGCCAGAACCGTTGACATTTCGTTTGAAGGGCGTGAGGAGATACAGAGTTCTAAATTTGTGTCTGCCAACAGCATGGATACATTAGATAAGCTAAGTAGTTTTTCAAACGCTTTATGATGGCATGGATTCAATGAATTGATGAAAAATAGCAAAAAGTACTGAAACAAACATCTGGACGAGCAATCAAAAGTTGAGAGAAGCTTAATTCACCAAGTGCGTTTTAGGTGCAACCTAAAATTGCCACTGAAGGTGAATCTCTCATATTTTTGCAAAGGCAGTAAAAATAAATAAACGACACGTGACAAGGTTTTGTACCTGCAGATGTCTTGGCTGGAGGGAGAAACCGATGTTCTTGAGAAGCTGCACGGGGCGTTGACTGAAGTGGGACTGCCGGCCTGAGAGAAACAACAACACCACGCCCACTTTTAACGCGGAGTCGGCTCAGCGTACGCAAAGACAGCAGATGAATTATTCACATTAATTTTCATCTTTATAAATCTAAAGATGGAGGATTAATGAATAATGCAGTAAATTGCTGTAACCGCCGTTTTGATCGATGACGACTAATCTGTCGACCAATCGGCAAAGAAGAGTGCCTCAGAGCACCTGAGACTTGAAAGGCTTTGGAAATTATACTCAAGTTTCTTACTGGCCGAGGAAATGTTTTTCCAGACAAAAACTTTACATCTACGGACTGCAATTATGATGTTTGCTATTGCGTTGCCTGGATAATTGAAGCGCCACCCCTCAACTTCAACATAGTTCTGGGCATACTTTTAAAACTAGGCGCTCAGTGACCTCTAACTTGAAAATTTTAGGGGTTCAAGTTCACTATAAATCGACTTGCAAATTAATATTCATATTACCTTTCATTTTCATAACTTGCCAACTTCCTAAAGTCATATTTTGAGCCCCCCAAAAAAACTATATCTCATGATGATGGTGTGATGTGTGTGACCACAAGCCCGACCTCTTTTCACAGATTATCCACGTTATCACGGTGCTCATTTGCCCCACTAGCACCGCCTCTTCTTGCTTCGCCGTTAAAGTCCGTTGGCAACCCAACTCGTGTCCGCCACTATTCCACAGGACCTCACAGTGAGAAATACTCCCGGAGCGGTTTAAGGTTGTGCGGGTTCTTGTTGGGGGGTTGTTAATGTGTAAAACCCAAAAGTGGGCCCGATCATTTCAGCGTGAAACTAATTAGCTATTGATTTCATCTCCAACCGCGCCGACATTTTATAGCTGCCGGCCTGACAGTGATCGATAGATGGCTGTGCTGTCATGCTATCTGCCCTTCAGCCTGCCCATCAATGACATCCTTTCACATTTACCTACTCATGAATCACACGCCGGTTTCTCTCGTTTGGACTGCAAAAGAAGCTGTGCAGGTTATCTCGGGACAAACGGGCTCTGTCTCTACCACTACATTCATTGTTACGTCCCATTCATGACGCAAAGTTCACACCGCATGGTCGGCTGGGCAATGGATGTGGTTGTCACGTGGAGGGTGCAGCCAGTACTTGCCAGAAATTCCTGCAACTCCTATTTTTGTATTTATTCAGACTCTATAAAACAAAGTTGCCATGCCTCGGGCAGCTGGGACCCCCGTGTAAGATCAGCCATGCAAATGGAGATTGTTGTCCCATATCGGACATGTCCTGCCAGAAATCCCTGCAGCTATTTTAGTAGTTGCTGCAGGCCCCTCCAAATCATAATCAACCACTTCCATTCATTAAATCCTGTATTGTTGTCACACTGAAGGTGCAGCCTGTACTTGCCAGAAATTCCTGCAGCATGCTCTGTGTCAACCACTATTTCCATCAATATGTCCAAAACAAACTTTAGAGCCTGTGGACAGCTGCGCATCAGAGATAAGATCAACCACACAAATGAGGATGCTGTCACGCGGAGGACGCAAGTCAGTACTCGCGACACATTCTTGCATCTCCTTTACAGTTACTGCGTGCATCTTCACAGACTTCCAAGAACCATGTTCCTCATTTTATGTTATATTTGTGTTTCTACTCCAGGACACCAAAGTTCATATCCCATGGACATCTGGTATCGTAGTAATATGTACGACCTATCTACTACTAGAAGTTCCTGCAGCTCTTAATGTTACTGTCGGCCTCATCGCAGCCCAACGCCCACCCTTCAATTCTTCTGGAAATCCCCCTTGTTCATATAACCTTTCTTATTTCTGACGATTGTGTGTCCAACCAAGTACTTGCCAGAAATTGCTGCAGCTTCTGAAATGTTCCTGTGGGCTATTTCTCAGCGACCAGTCAACTATTTTCCTCATTAAAATGCTTTATTTGTTGATTTCCAGTCCATAAGACAGAAGTTCACATGCGGTGGATGTCTGGGCCTTCGGCGGGGTGTGAAGATCAGTCATGCAAATGGCCGTTGCACAACGGCGGCTATATTTAACGACGCGGGCGGACACTCCGCGAGTGGCCCGATGGCGTCAGCTGGAAACACATCAAACACGCAGACAGGTCGTCATGGCGTCGGATGCCGTGGGAGGCTACGGAGAGCCATTTGAGCGATTATTCGATATTCTCGTGATACAGCTTCAGGTCCTTGTTCTGGTAAGACGCAGAACGCCATGTTGATTCTGACTGCGTGTCTCTTCGCAGGTGGCTTTAGGATTTGTGGGGTGTTTGGTTTAATGAACATCTCGCAATTAATTAATGAGCAGAACGGCATGATGCAACATGTCTCCAAAGCATCGTCACCAATTCCGGGGGGGGGGATTCAGGCAGATGCCACCTGCTTGACGACGACAATGTCGTACGGTTTTGGGTAATGAACGCCATCGTATAGTTTGAGTTTAAGACCTGCCTTAAAAGCACGGCAACGCTTTAATGAGACGAGAAGTCGTTTGATTTGATTGGCCGACCATTAACGTGTCACTTGGGATCTCTAAATCACTATCCTGGAAATCAGCTTGGACAAAAGGGGGCGATCAAGAGCGTCAAGAGGGGCATTCACATCCGAAGCTGCCAATGGGAACAATGAGGACAAAAATGACATTTTTATCAATTATTCATTTATCCAGATTGGCCCTTGTCAAATTTAACTGAATAGCTTTCAGGGCTATTTAACAATGATGATAATAATACTCGTAATAATAATAATCATAAAAATAAGAATCATAATAATACCATTAAATCCTTTAAAGACTGTGGCCAGGATATTATATTATTATAATTAATGCAGTGCCATTTGGTACAAAAGAAGAATATTTTTGGCAAATGACAAAAAAATACCATTAAAACACACAAAAAGAATACGATACACTTCCATTGACTAACTTGTAATACTTTCCATCATCGACAGCCTGAGACAAAAGCAGTGGAAAACCCGTATGACGATATGTAAGACACTGTCGATACTCAAAAGTAAGTAACTTGTACTAGATTAAAAAAAGAAAATCAGGGCTTTTATCAAATAACATCTAGACGACAACAAAGCAAATAAGGGCCTTTGTTCCACGAGTGCTCTGGCCCGAGGAAACGCGACTCGACTTCACAATGCGATGATGTGGTTGGTGAAACAAACAATTCCCTTGCTTGTCCCAGATATCCGGATCATCAGCAAAAACCGTTGAGTCGAAAACCTATCCCGGGTATACACAAAACTCTGCAAACCAATTTCAATTCGGAGAGCCGCTGGCAGATGTTTGGCCGGAGCTCAACGCCAGCCCACTGAACGGCCGCTCGGCTGCTTTGACTTTATGACCACTGTAATACTTTAATTCCAGCCCTCCTTGCCCATCCCAATGAAGTACAAACACACACACACACACACACACACACGCGCACACACACACACGCACGTCTGGCACCGTTCTGGGCCAGGCTACAGATAAGCGTTCTGACCTAGCAGAGTGCCTCACACTCCTACACACTGATAACATCTATGCTAATTTACATGACCCTGCCCAGGGCGTTTCACGTTCCCTTTCGCATTAAGCGAGCAGTCATTCGTTGGGTAACATTTAATTTAGAGGTTGTGTATTTAAGCATACGCATCTTGTAACTTTGCATTAAAGGCTGCTAAATTAATGGTAACATAAAATGGGAAAGGGTGTACCCAAGGGCTAATGTACAGCAACATGCAGCAACACAGGTAGACAGACAATAAAAGGGTACTCTAAAAGCAGGGATGGGCAACAGCATGTGCACTCACACCGAGTGGCTCCTTGAGTAACCCCTCCCACCCCGAAAAACAAAAAGATTCAATTTACACTTCTCCTATACTGTAATTTAAAGTTGTAATGGCGCTATTGATCACTAGAGGGCAGACATGGCTTCCACGTGGGCTTTTCCATCAGTAATACCGTTATGAATAGGATGCAGCTTATCAATAAATCTGAACGCAAGTCTATCTTCCTAGTTTGCTTAGAGACAAACACACTAGCATCTCAAATATTTGGACGCCGGGCAACACGAAGCTCCTCTTTTCTGAGCAGACAACGGAACTGACTGGGCGGTTGCTGGATCAAACACAACTCAAAAGAGTTTCAAGCCGACAAACGACAACATGAATGTAAGCTGATTCATTAAGACATACATTTGCATTCATTAACACGAGAGTATACAAACAACTGCGGCTTTGTTTTTCACAAGAACCGTTGACAGTTCATTTGAATGGTAATGTTTAACAAACAATAGAACTACTCTAATAACTGACAAATGGGATGTCCGAAGAAAAACTCGAGGTCCTTTTGAGAAAGACGAAGCTTCCCAAAGTAATTTCAAGTCGTAGCGGCCTGACGCCACATCGTACACGGAGCCATTAAAAGTAAACGGAGGCCGTTGAAAGCGTGATCACGTGGGCCGCGCTAATGGCAAGCACGTATGCGCTCGCGTTTTAAAAGTCGGGAGCCGCTCGTGGCTGACACGTTGGCGGCAGAGCGCTAAGTGACCCTGACATGTCTCAGTGCAAGTAAAAGGTTGATCCTCTTAGGAGGCTCAGGAGGATTGCGAGGGAGGGGAAAGGAAGAGGAGAGAAAATAGACCGAGGTCATTGAAAGGGGGGAGTGGGGGGGGGGGTAAAGAGGTGTGTACGCTGAGGTGGAAAATGTAAGGTATAAAAATGATAAAAATAGATTGTCTCCTTTTTTGGCATTGGGGAAATAAAATGGGTAGTCCGTGTACATACTTGGGCTCAGATGCTATTCCTTCACACTAAAAACTTTACCAGCTGCACTCATTTGAACCCTTGTTGCCAAACAAACAGCAGCACCAACTGATGAATTGAAAGCGGCAAGCGTTTTCCAGGAGCGACTTTCTTCTGGCCTCTACGGTGGCTAATATGATGATAATGCGCCGCTTGTTTGCTTTGGCCACATCTCCAAAGCCGGTGAATGCATTTCTTTTTCGGTATTTGTGTCATGCTTACCTTTGATATATTGCTGGATCTGCTCGCCGAGTGACCCAGAGGCTTTTCATTCTGAAAAACAAAAACAGAGAAAACCCCCAGCTTGAATCAATTAAGTGCATTCTCAAAATACGGTTCTGTCGATGGTTGTCATTCAGTCCTAACGGGCAATGGTCCTCAACCCCCAGGCCGTGGACCGTTATTGGTCCGTGGGTCATTTGGTACGGGGCCGCACAGAAAGAATAAATAACTTACATTTTTTTTGGAATCAGTTTTATTTTGAAAAATTACCGGATTCTCTTATACATCCGTCGACAATATGTCACTCTTGACGCAGGTCAAGGCGCGCTTCTCGGTCACGTGATAAGTTACCGTGAAAGTGAAACCCAGGAGCTAGCAAAACGAGTAAAAAACAAATTTCTTTGGAAAGTTTCTTTGGGAAGGGGAAAAAGCCCAGCCAGGAGACAGAAGTGGAGCCTACGACTTCCAAGAAAAAGAAGGCCGCATTTAATAAACAATATCAGGAGTCCTACTTAAAATACGGATTTATCTCCCGCACACCAAGCCCACTCTGCGTAATATGCGGCGACGGTGAGTCATATTTTTCATGCATTTTTTTATTTGTGGTGTATCTTATTTTGAAAGCACGTTTTTACCATAGCGCCCAGGTAGTGTTGCAGTCAGATAAGACGTTCCCCTTGTCATGATTTGTGTTTATTATTATGTTGCGAAAATACCAGTTTTCATGCAGGTCATACGATATTATTTTATTGTATTTATCCGCCACACCTTAAAGGCCGGTCCCTGAAAATATTGTCTGACATTAAACCGGTCCATGCGGCAAAAAAGGTTGGGGACCGCTGCTAATGGGAATGTGAGAGAAAGAACATAAATGTGTTGGAAATTTTTGGCACCGGCGCGGTTATCAAGTGGTTCGCACGTCTGGCTCACAGTGGAAGAGGGCTAACCTAATCTTGGGTTTTGCGTTTGCATGAAAATGGATGGAATAATTCACTGGAGTGGATAATAAAGTGTGTGGAAGGTGAAGCAGACCACTAATATGTTTCCATAAAACTCTCAGCTGGCATCTTTATTTGGAAAATGAAGATGGATGGGCTGGCCTGGACTGAATAGTACACAGCGAGTCACTATCAGTAACCGCCAGTGGTCTGGAGGAACTACGTATAAATGAGTGTTTATTTTTCGGAAGATTTTTTTACTCTTCTGCAGATTATAACATACACCCCCCCAAAAATAGAGATAGATTTGATTTTGTAGTTTTATTAAGAATGCTTCAAGTAATTTTGCCACTTCAAGGACACAGTGAGCAGACGAGAACCCGAGCAGATTTCAGCGCAGTCAAGTTGTGTTTTGGAGCCGGTAATGATCCTCAATTCCCCATTTACACTCGCTGATGAAGAACCGCCGCCGCCGCTGCTGCTGCGGGGTGCTAAGCCGCATGTAGCCTTGGCGTTAAAGAGCCTCGCGCCGCTCCTTAATGACAAGTCAATTGCTGTTACATAATGTGCACTAAGTTCAGACGGGTTTCGAAAAGGGCTTTGCTTACAAACAAATCTGGACCGGGGCAAATCGGCTCTGCGGATGCGTGGCGCAGCGCGTGCAAAGTTTGCTCTTAGGTAGGCAATTGCAAATGAGGGAGGCGACAATTGAATGGGATTCTTGTCTTAACTTTTACAAATGCAATCAGAAAAATATAACGGAAAATAACACAGTGAGGAGAGAACTATGAGGACGCTCACTATTTGATGAAATGTGGCAGTGAACCACGATTTATCACGGGGGACACATTGTACCAATGGTGTCAAATTTCTTTTCAGCATGTTCCTCGTGGAATTTATGTAAAAATGAGTAAGGGTGTAAAAGTACGCCAAAAATCATGTTTCCGGATGGAAATTGGTTTTGAGATCATGATTCAGTTCACATACAAAATACACAAATTGCTTAATAAATTTCGTGCAAACAGGTAGTTATAATGGTATTTAAAATGGACAGTGCCATTATTTTCTTGTTGCGGGAGATCATCATCAATGGTTTGTCTTTTTTAAAAAGTAAGCAATGGTAAACAATGTCCGGCTATTTTATTGATAGTATTTTTCCACTCCAACACACTTAACTTATTCAGCATAAGCGTATTGAAACACACTTATAAAACATACTTTTCAACGTATTCCTTCACTCCTTTCTCATTTTTTCGCACAGCTCTCCAAGTAAGAGGCGGAGCATGCTAGCTTCAAGGGGTTTTTCACTCCCATTTGACGTTTACTGTACAACTCACACACACACACACACACACACACACACACACACACACACACACACACACACACACACACACACACACGGTATATCGAAACACCAATATGATCAACTACACCATATGTAATTTGTTTGAACACAAGCCTGCTAGCTTAATGCTAACACAGAATGGTGGACGTAATGATGAGCTAATGGGCTAACAGATGTTAGCGTGTCGGTTACGATAATTAAAAATCTTCAAACTTCTACTCCAACAAGCAGTGTGACAAGTGGCCTTTACCTTTGCGCAATTTCTTAAAAAAAAAAAAATAAATGAAAGATGACAAAAAATGGAATGAGCACCTCAAAATTTTTGTAAATTTCCCCAGTGTGGGACAAATAAAGGATATCTTATCTCAAAAACATCTAACATCATCCTTGTAGAACAAGACGCACCGGTCTGGTATGCCACTCCACATGATAGACACATGCAAACCTGCATGTGATGTTAATTTAAATCCCATTTTTTAAATGCAAACATCACTGTGCACACAACGAGCCAAACAAAGCCGCAATGTTTAAACCAGTGACAAAGCCTAAGGCCATGTTTCTCTGAACGAGTCGAACGATGACAGCGTTGTTGGCTGTTGAATTGTGAGCCATGTTTTTTTATTTACATTCCATTTAATTGGTCTGGAACATTCTGAGGTCAAGCCTCATAAGCCCGGCGGGATAGCGCTGACTGTCGAATGCAAAGTGAAGCCGACTACATCCCGAGTTCACCCATATGTCATTATTTTGATATAGCTTAATTAAATAAAATAGCCCATAAATGAAAAATTCACCTCTTAACAAACTTTATGATGACCATTCTCGGAAAGTCGGCGAAAAAGCCATTTTCACAGAAGATGGACAATAAAGAACAGAACAAATTACTGATAGTTTTCCTTAATCCTGAGCGCTTGGACAAATACACAGTAAAGCCCAGGCGGAGACTTTCTGAGGATTTTGTAAACAACAGAAGGGATTAGACAAAAGAGGAGTGACACGGATCAATTCAGTGTCTTCTCACGCGGAATTAAAACAGAAAATGTGGTGACAGTGCAAAGCCACCAAGTACATCTCCGTAGGGACAAAGGCTCAACGTTCTTCCATTTGGAAAAAAAAAAAACCAACAACAAAAAAAGTGCGATATATAGATTTCAAAGAAGCCCCTGTTTGTCTGCTTCAAAGATCTCCTCAAATTGTTTGTCGCTTGGTGCGTCATCCACTTAAAGGAGACAAAACTCGAGGCCCTTTTCCACGAAACAAAAGGTTTGCTAATGAAAGGTAGCACATTTATTAGCATCTCTAAGCAACAGTTTGGCAAATAGTGAAAAATATATATTAAAAAAAAAAAAAGAGGCTTCGAGCTACACCCAGTTGGAAGTTTTCAGTCCAAACAAACATCAAACAAGAGAATTACATGTTGCACATGTAAACAACCCTCAGAAAAGTCCACTGAGCTTAATGCTAACAATATAAAAGGCCACTGACACGGTAATAGTTAGCATAGAATGTTGCTGTTCTGGAAGTAACACGTTTGAACACAAATGGTTCACAGTAACTAATATAATTTACTGCATAATTAGTTATGACGATTATATCAGTTTCTATCAATGTAGGTTGACATACAGGTAAATGTCATGTGCTAGTTATCAAAAAAAAACTGACCACACTGTCAGTTCACGCTAACTGGGAATCCAACAAGCGCTTAGCTTTTGGCTTTTGACACAATATTGCGTCCTTATGATCTGCCAGTTTAAATACAGGGCCAAAAATTGAACACATATTTTCTAACATAGAGAGACAGAGACCAGTAGCGAGGCGGGTGTGGAGGTTGGGGGATGGGAATTCAACAACAACAATGAACGGCAGAGTGGGACGTGTAGCCTCTCTTGCCATCACGTTGATTTCTCTGTAAATTCATTATCTCAATGAGCCTGCGTTCAAGTGAGGCGCCGTTGTCAAGAATGGACGCTCTGTGTCCGCTTCAAGTCAATCAAAAACCCGCATCATTTGGCGATACATGCCATTTGGCAAATAGGCTCAGCCGCAAACCTAATGAGGACAAGTGCCATCGAAAATACTTGCTGATAATTGGACGACCGTTCATCTCAAAATGTCACTTGAAGAGATGGCGGTTCCCTCTACATTTAAGTGCAGGCACAGTCATTGTGATACGCAGCGATCTAAAAATAAGCTAACCGGTCCATTTCTTTTTTTTTTTTTAAAGGATAACTAAGTTGCCGACAAGATCACACTCCGCAAACGTCATTGGACAATGCTACTGTTATACACAGAATGGCGAACAGAGGAAGACATTGATGTGAAAGCCATATTGACTCGTTCCTCCCTCATTCGAGGCCACGCTGAGTATTATCGAACATCTCAAGACAAAGAGTCTTGTTGCACTTTCCTGTCCTCCCGTTGTCAGTCTCTCTGGGATGAAAAGCAGGGTGACTTGAGTGCATGGCTGCAGGCCAGAAGAGCAGACGCACATGGGACGTTTTAAATATGCGGGTTAACAGACATCAGACGTCCGAGCGGGGGCTAAACGTTTGGGCCATTCTAAGAAAGACCATTCTTAGGAAAGAGATGAAAGTGGGGCTGAGTCACATTTCCCCCCGAAGATATTTTTGGGTCTTCTCCCCCTCACCCAAATCGGTTTTCTTGGCCTTAGGGTGGGTGATGTTTAGACCAGATGATGCCGTTAATTTTTTTTTTTTAACTGATGACTCTTTGTGTCTTCAACTAAAAAGAGCAGCGCCAAACCA